TACTAGTACCAACTTCCCCCATCTTCTTCTTCTTCCATTGAAGAATGGCAGATAACACGGATCTGACAATGTCCTAAATATGTCCAGTTGGCCCCACTTAACTTTGATTTAAAATCATCTTCTCTCCTCCCTCCTCCACACTTTAGTTTCAGATCAGGCACAAAATGCTAGGAAATATTTTGAAGTCAAAGAATCCCATCCCAAAAAACAGCGGGAAAAAGTTCTGTTGATAATATCGACTGTGAATCTTCTGCTTTTGCTCATGCTAACCGGCTGCTGCATTGTAACTGTATGGCTGCATTCCAGGAATGGCAGGTAAGCGTCCCATCAAACTACCAGTTGGAAGTACTGGTGGCAAATCATTGCAAGAAATGTGAGGATTCTTGTATGATCAAATCTTATTTAGATATACCCTGATTTGCTTACAAATTCTTACATAAGTTAACACCATTTTTAGGATAATTATTGTAGCTAAGGATTTTAATGTGATGCTGAACTGTGCATTCCTAAAACACCGGATTTAGGAAAAAGAATTATTTTTCATAATAGGAAACTCTTGAGCTTAAAGAATGGATCCAGCATGAGTTTGTTACCTATTTTTGAAAGATCTCTCTGCTCTAAACACGGGAAGATGAAGTAATTTGTGTGTATATGATTAGATTTTTGCTTAGATTTAATCATAAACTATAACTATAAACAGCTGTGTTGAACCCGTGAGGTAATTAATGGGATTAATGATGAGGGCCACCTGTTTTGACTATAAGACCAGGTGACTGTTTGCATCAAAAGATGCAAAGTTCGAACTATTGGTAGGATTACATTGGCCAGTGCTTTTGCTGAGGCTTGGCTGCCGAGCGGTCAACCCAGAACACCCATTGGTAGTCCAGGAAACTAAGTAGTTTAAAGCAGGGGTCTTCAAACTTGACAGCTTTAAGACTTGTGGACTTCAATTCCCAGAATTCTTCCTCCAGTCATGTTAGCTCAGGAATTCTGGGAGTTGAAGTCCACAAGTCTTAAACTTGCCAAGTTTGAAGACCCTTGGTTTAAAGTACTTATTATTTTATCATAAACATAAGAATTGAATTCATTGTATATTACTTTAGTTATTACAAAGATCTTTTCCCCTTTTTTGTTAGTTTTCTTTTTGTGTCGCATAATTCACAGCATATCTATACTTTTCTTCTTTAGTCCTTTTTTTTTCAGACCGTGCTGTACTTTTTTTTGGGTATTTCACTATAAAATAAAATAATAAAACAAAAATCGCAGGAGAACATAAGCCTTCATCAGTCTTTGAAGGGCAAATGGCAAAACAGTGACTCCAAACAGCCTCAACTGAATGGACGCAGAATAGCAAATTCAGACTTTTGGGAAAGGCCACCAGGACAGGAGGTCTAACCCACTAAAAATTTAGCAGCAGCACCTGAAACAATTCATACTAGAAATCTTACAAATGTTTCTCAATACAAGCGGGTCACCAATGGAAAATGGGATCAGAATGCCTACGAAGAAATGAGAGAGAGAGTCATCACAAATTATAGGAAATGTCTGGTTGTTCTTTTGCTGCTAAAAAGTGCCACAACCACTTACGGAATCTGAGGGATGATTAAGTTCTTATGGTGGCACATTGTCTGTTGGGTGCGAAACAACTCTGAAGGCAAATAGAGTCATGAAAAGATGACTGAGTAAAAGCAAATTATTTCCCTATCCTGAGCCACCTCAAGTCTATAGGAATGGTTTTAAATCTATACATTGTATTAAACTCCAATGTTATGACACTTCCATCCCTAGAATGAAGCTTTTTGGCCGAAAGCAAATAGCCTCCGCGGTACCTTCCAGAAATTTCCAGACAGAAGATATAAATCCAGTTTCCTTTTCATCTATGACGAAGATTGTGGATGAGGCATCATCATATTCAGATGAATCAGAGCGTGTGCTGGATCAGGCCCCTAATTTAGCACCTAGAACGCCTCATCCAACTATCCAACCACCCAGAATCAGGCCAGAGCAAGCAGCATAAATTCCTTTCTCCTATGTGTTCTTCCTTACTTTTTTTTTCTTGCTTTATAAATTATGTATTATATGAACTAGAGGGAGCTATCTTTAAATTGTTTTATTTCTATTATTGTCTATCTCAGCAAATGACTCTTATTCCCCTGTATAAATTTCTTTGTCCTCCTATCCTTTTTGGTTTGATATTAAACCCTGTGAAAAGTTCTCTTTCCTGGCTTATGTTTAGGTATCACAGTTGATTGCAGTTGGGACTTTATACTGTTTAATCCTTGCAGAGTTGGAGTTGAGCAAAAGCAACAGAGGGGTATGAGAAAATACATTCAATAAGCATCACTGGGAGATTGTTGTACATGAAGAAACATGGACAAGAAAATTGAGAAATTCTGAATTACCAGCAAAGCCTCACGGGGTTGTGATGGATTTGTAGAAAGTTAGCACCCACCCTTCTCAGTTCTGACCCAGCTGAAGTTTCCGAAAGCAAACACAGATAAACTCTACAACTGAAACATTCATGGCTTTATTCCACAAATAACCCTCTTTGTAGATAACAGATGGCTTGCAGCCAATTAGTCGAATAAATCAGAGTCTGTAATCATCACACTAACTCCTTCAAACTTTTGCCTTTTGCAAAGGCAAAAGCCATTTGAAACCAGGGTTATATTCCCTAGAGGGAGCGGCCATTAATTAGCATTCTTACTCCTGAGTCGCCTGTGCTGCTCTTCCATGAATCATCCTGCTCACTCACACCCAGCACAGGCTTCTCGGGAACGTCCTCCTGATTGCTGCCGGCAAACCACAACATTCTCCTAGAAAAATGAAATATTCTAGGAAATATTAAAGGGGCAGAATATTATACCACCCTGGATGAGAAAAGGAGAAACATGCTCTTGGAAAGCAGCCCCTACCTTTGTTAATAGCCCCAGAAAGACTGAACCATCCTATCTACAAGACAAAAGACATTTAGCACCAGGGTGATAGGATTAGCCCTCACTCAGATCCAAATCAGAACAAGGACATTAAGCCATAATAGGAATTGCCCAAAGCCCCTTCATTACATCACTCAGCAGGATTCAACCAAGCCTGGGACTCAAGACAACCTACAAAGTTACCCTGCATGGCCCCATGGGAGTCTGACAACCAATCAGGGATACATTGCTTGCCACAGGAACAGGAAGCAAGTTCACAGCCCAACAGAGAGTATAAATATATCTCACTCTCCACTCCATGTGGTCAACTATCGAGGACCAAACCATGTGGTCCTGTCCACCACTAAAACCATCCTTCCAAGCAGTCTCCATGTTTCCAGTGTCTTTCTTTCCACTTGGAACTGAACCCAGGTGGACATTTCTTCCAACAGATTTTTCCCTAATTTGATATGTGCTTCCTCCATTTTTCTCATCATTCCAGAAAGGCCTAAGATATCACAGCTTGCTTTGAACGAGCTTTCTCAGCCACTGTCCTAGAGGTGGATGGAAACCACCACACTTTCGAGTAGATGAGTTTTAGCCATCTAATCAATCTTAACAGGTTTTGTTGGCTGGCTAGACTGCTTCCCAAAAAAGATTTATGGAAAAGGTAAGTGGACCTAGGTGTGACGGGGGAGGGAGTGTGTGGGACCCAGCAGGTAGGATGTGGGGAGGATAGACAACGGGGGGCGCTCATTGTTCCTATGGTGGTCATAAGGACACAGAGATTGCCAAATGCCAGAATTTTGTTCAAGTTAACTGTGGGGGCCATAGAGCAGCCATTACTTCAAGAAGGGCTTATAAGTCTCTTTATTCATGCACCATCATAATTTTGAACCATCGCTGAATGAAGCATCTAAAGCAGGGGTCCCCAACCACCGGTCCGTGGAACAAGTCCTACTGGGCCGCTGGTTTGCTGGGCGCCGCCATCTTGTTTTGATGAAAAAGTGCTTCCGGTGAGCTTTTCTGGGTAGAAAGCCATTTCTACCCGGAAAAGCTCACCGGAAGCGCTGGGCGCCGCCATCTTGTTTTGATGAAAAAGTGCTTCCGCTGAGCTCACCGGAAGCACTTTTTCATCAAAACAAGATGGCGGTGCCCAGCTGATGCCGGTACCGGGCCGCGCCATAAAAAAGGTTGGGGATCACTGATCTAAAGTCAAGGACCACCTGTATTGGAATATGTGTGGGGTTCCTCCCCCCCCCAATGGCAACACTAAGAACATTTCCACTCTCTCTCCCACTTGCAGTTCACTGTTTACCAAGAAAACTTTATTTCCTCTTTTCAATTCAAAAACTTCAGTGTCAATGTTCAAATTTAAACAATCACAACAAATGCATGAATTTCGGTGTTGATACATGATGCTAAATTGCTAAAAGAGCAGCAAAGGGGAAAAAATAATAATACAATGCAGCACAAAGGTACAAAAATCCCAATGCTTAGAGAAGTTTCAGATATTTGACCTGTAGCACCCTCAGGTGGTGGGAGCAAGCAATTTCACCATCATCTGGTTAAGAAATACACACAATCCCTGAGTTTTCTTTAAAGAGTTCCAGTCCTGGAGGAGCCTTTGATTCAACTATTCCCTAATACTATTTTACAACACAAAAGCCCTGTGATATATCAGTTTCCAACAGGGGCTGCAGATCAAACCTCAAACGTGAAACATCTTTTGCAGACCAAGATGGTTTGCGGCACGAATAGTTTTAAACAAACTTAGTGATGGTATCCAAATTTGTCTAGGCCACTGGAGAGATATTTTGAAGGTAGCCCAATTTGTACCCAAACACCTTAATTTTTAACTGTATTTTGTAATGGTGGAAAACACCACATAATGTCCTTGAAAGGGAGTTCGAGGAAGTATCTTTTCAAATCAGTGTAGCAGGCAGGGGGTAAGGGCCATTAAAAACCTCCCAAATGTATTGAGTTGAAAATGACGTGTCTTGAGTTTAGAGATCTCAAAAAATATTTTAGGAGAGATGACCAGTGGTGGGATTCAAATAATTTAACAACCAGTTCTCTGTCCTAATTATTTCTTCCAACAACCAGTTCACCAAACTGCTCAGAAATTTAACAACCAGTTCTCCCAAAGTGGTGCAAACTGGCTGAATCCCAACACTGGAGATGACCCACTCCCCATAGCATTGCATCCCAAAGCTTGGACTACCACAAAGTCATCAGACGATAATCTTTTGTAGGCCTAATAAGATCGCCTTGCCATGGGCCATTGTGCTACATGTGAAACAAAGCACTGTGACTCACACACTGTAACAGCATTTAAAAGATCTGGACTCAGCGTGATGTTGCAACCCAGTCAACAACTACGTAAAATCTTGAATCTTAAGAGCTATCTTGTAAGCAGTATCTTTCAATATCTTTAATCAAGCTAATACTTCTGAACCTCAAGGCCAAGGATAGAAATGTGTTGGCTAACCCTAATGCATCTGTCTTAGAACACGGTCACCAATTGTAATCTGCAAACCTAACCACTGTTACTGTAATTTTAAACCATGGTTTATGGTTTCAGCTTGTTTGTTCAGCCAGGTGGCAGGCCACAGGTAATGTCTAGATAGGATAATTTCAAACCAGCCTCAATTCAAAGCTTGTAACCAAGTACAGCCCCCAACCACAAATTAGCAATGACTCAGTGGGTGTGAACCTGTGAAGTCAGCTTGATTTATTAACAAGTCTTGCCAGTCTAGCCAATGGTAGGTTCTTAACCAGTAATTAAAATCATGGTTCTGTAGGATGAGCAAAACCAGATGCACTGAGGACATCTAAAGGTATCAAATTGGAATGTGTTGCATAAATTCACCCAAACTGACATGGATTGGGAAAACTTGGGTAGAGAACAGGCAAAAAACCTGCACCTGTTTCTTGCAATACTTCAGAAACTGTCTACAGACTAAAACCCAGGAAACTCAAGATTGTAATTTAATACACATTTTCTCTGTATGGGAACTCTTTCCCCCAAGCTTGAATATAATTTTAGTATACTAGCTCATTCAGCATAAAAACGATAGACTCAGTTCAACATGGTACAGCTGACGAAGAACTTCAAGCAGTTTTAATAAGGTTCCTGGAAATACACCAGATATGAAGAATGCAAATAGGATGTTGGCTGGATTTACTTCCCCCAGAGGGAGTAGAAAAAATTACACTTGAGTTCCATCACAAAAATATTTAGTCCAGACCCGTCCAACTGGTGGTCCATAGGCTTATAATGTGGCCCCACAGGATCGCAAACTTTTGACATTATGTGATTTATATACATTAATTATATTATGTATTTTATATGCAGCCCAAGACAATTCTTCATTCAATGTGGCCCAGGCAAGCCAAAAATTTGGACAACCATGATTTAGAAATGCAACCTTTGCTCTTTTTAAACAAAGAGAATGGGCTAAAGTTTTATACTCTTGTAAAATAAATTATTTTAGGCTTGGAAGTTTCACCAACCTAAGCACACACCCCTCCCCTCCAGTATTATTCTCTTCTTACAATGTCAGAGGGGGAAAACTTTTCAGAATTCTACATCCATGTAAATATGGGCAAAACCTTACAACAGACTATTGATAAAACAAAGCATTCCAAGTGTGCAAATCTTGGCATTACATACATGAAGTTGAATACAGGTGCATTTTCAATGTAAGGCTATATAAAGGCGTTTTTATCATGAAAACATCAGCCACAATCAACCCAAGGCTGCTCTCTTGTGAAAATGCTGTGGGAAAGGATGCATCCTTGTGGATAATGCCCAATTTCATAAAGCAACGGTGCTGGCCTTTGGCCACAAATAAGGAATTTAATCTTTCGTAAGGCAGAGAACCATTTGCATCAATCCTAGTTTAAATGTGTTTTTTTTTTTTTAAAAAAAAGGACTGCTAAAGAATATCAGTAAATGGGAACATATGTGCATGTGTTCAACCACCTCGCTGTAGTATTGTCCAGCAGTTGAACAGGACCTCGGTGGGTGTTCAGAAGATAGCTAGGGACTGGCCAATGCCTTTTAGAACTAACATTTAAACGTTTTAAACATTTAAAACATTTAAGGGGACATTGTAATGGATTGTGTACCTTAAGTTCAAATGCCAAATACCTTTGGTATATCGACTCTTCTAAAAAGAGATGTCACAAAATATAAACATCCACGCTTGGGCAGTAATCCATCTTAATCCCTGCCAATGATATTTTGTTTATTATATAAGGCTAGAACAAGACAAAATATTTGTTATGCTGTTTGTACCACCCTGTTTTTAAGGGCTAAGTATAGTGGCCTTATAGCTCAATACATCGATTCGTTCTTTACCAAAACACACAATAATATTTGCACAGGGATGCAACAAAAGTCATTTATAGTCCGAGTGTTAAGTCACTTTAGACTTTTGCAGAAACAAGGCTTTCTTTGTATACACTCCTGCCTACCCCGTTCCTAACAAAGTACCGGTATTTCTAAAACGTCTCTATCAGCTTGTTGATGAAACAATTCTTTAGTGCAAAAAAAAAATCTGAAAAAAGTCCCTCTCTTCAGAATAAAGTGCAGACTTTACTAAAAGGAAGATACAGTCCAATTCAAAGTCCAGAATGATGGATGGGGATCATCTTCAGGCAATTTCAACTTCATCCTTGAAATGCAGGTATATAAGATAGCTTTTTCAGACTTTGGGGAACTTTTACATAGGCAAGAGTTACATTTAAATCAGAATAGCCATAATCTTGCAGACATTTCTTTCAGCATGATTGAATTATCAGTCAAGATCCCTGGATTCTGGCTTGTTAGCATGTTAATTTTGCCCGTAGAAAATATGAAACAAATGGCAGAGAACCAGGCTGAATGCAAATCTTAATTTTATCAAATTACACAACGTTGTGGTGCATCTTGGTATGGACTGCAAAATTCAAATGTCCTTCTGTTCTGCTGGAATATTTAAATTCTTCCAGTGTTCCACACAAGGCAAGCAGAGAACTTGGTTAAGAGAGAGCTGTGTAACTTTCTCATCAACATCCTTTTTAAAACACACTACAACAGGGATCATGTCATCACAGCTTTGTCATGTGATGTAATGGGACTTCCCCCCCTTCGCTAAACTGGGCATGAGCGTGGCCAGTGTGTGACACATCTGGCTTGCAGGCTGGGAGTTTGACAGTCCTGCACTAGAAGGTTATGCACATACATTAATCACATGTAGAAAATATCAGGACACAAGCAACCCCAGTAAGCTTGTAGAAAAAATTTTAGAAATAGGAAACTTGAAATGATTCAAGAATTGTATCGTTCAAGAACTAGGTTGAAGTCTCCTTGGCTTGAAAGAAGAACATTGTTCTCTGAAATCCTAACCTCACTGCTAATGTATTTCATTGCATTGACATTTAAAATGGACATTCACAGCAACCTATTGAGGGAAAAGGGCTAACCCCTTAGCTTTGCAGTAGAGTTCTTGGTTATTCTTATAAGCAAACTTATTGCACACACTTTTGCATAAGCCACCTCATTACCTGCATAATAAAGTGGTGAATTTTTGAAGAGTCATAATGTTCCACTATTCTTGCTCCAAGGTAGCAGGACAGCTGCAAACACTACCGTACACCGACAATGTTTTATAATTCATAGGTCCTGCAGGTTGCACTTCCAGATTCTGGGAATTTCTGTAGCTGGAAATACCTACATAGTTTTTTTTAAAACACTGACGCTACTGTAAATATATTTTAGACTATAATTCAATATTCTATAGGAGAAACTACTTCCTTCATCAACAGAAGGTATATTTGAAAAATGACATTTATTCATCCTTTCATATGATAGAAACGTGGCATTTGGCTTTTGACTCTAAAATATTTGCCTCATGCATAACAATTCTTTATTAAACCCTACAACGGTATCTTTAAAAAGGCATCTTAGCCTATCCTTATACACCTAGATACAGATGGCAATACAGATATAATTACCAAACAGCTATAGCCAACTATCATTTTACAGGAGGCTACTTGATTAGGCCTTCAAAACATTGCAGACCTTATCTTGAGGGTGTTTTGCAAGGCCAGCTGAAAATGCTGTGGCATCTAAACCAGCCTTCCTCAACTTGGATCACCCCTTTGGTATGTTTGACTGATCTCCCATTTCCAAAACCAGCATGTTGCTGCACCCAAAAGAATGAGGATTGCTGGACCAAGTATAAACTATAATTTAGTAAGATTTCCACTTCATTTTCTTGAAAACTTTTAGCCTGCCTCATATATGTTTCTGGTGAGCTCAGAAATGCTTTACAAAATGTTAAGTGGAAAAACTTCTCCCGACGCATATGTATGGTAGGAATGCAATACATAGTAAACGCTGAAAAATCTTTGCTCTTGCATCATATGGCAACAATCCATAGGCATATACTGTTCAAATTCAACCCTATCAATAATATGCTGGTAGTAGCACAGAAGTGACAGCAAAATGGATTCCTGAATGTTATATTGAATCAATTTGATGGCCCACGGGCCACTTTAGCTCCCTAATGCTGTTAAATTTGGGTTGTCCAGAGTATTATAAAACCACACCAGTACTCAGCTTCTGAAAAATGTTAAAAATAACAAGTGAGGCAGATTCAATAAGCTGAATAATCATTACCATTTCCAAATTCTGCTTTTTTTATATTTACTATTACATGACAGAGATGTGAGGTGCTACTGTTCATATAGCTCGCAACCACTGAGATATCTGACAATGCTTGCTTGGATATTTTATACTGGAAGGTATTCCTGTATATTCCAAGTTACTGGGTAAAAACATGAGGTTAAAGTAAACCAGAGAAACAGACAGATGCTGGTCACCAAAAAGCCACACTAGATGTCCACCCAATGTAGCAGCCAGGCTGGATTTCAGATCTGAAGACTGAAATTCCTTGCAAATTAACATCTTAAGTAACACAAGGTGCATTTCATCATCAACCCTCAATTCTAGTTCTAACAGTTGTTGCTTCTGGTTATGCTGGGGCTCTGACAGTCAAAAATGGGCAAAGTGTGTAAAATGTTCTCCACCTGTTTGGTTCTCTAATGAAATCATGAGCTCGCTCTAACCAACCAGTTATTATAGTACAGTTGAAGGGACTAAAGACCTTCTCCAAGAGATCTTTCTCTAGTAAACCAAGCGATTCCTTGGATGAGATGACTCTTCTTGTTACTTTGCTCCAATGTGGTAAGACTTCTTCACCAATATTAGGCAGTGGGATAGCTTGAAACAGAGGGCAGCATCCAATTTGGAGAGAGATAGATTCCTTTTGCAATTGACGGTTAGCCATAGGAGAGCTCTTCACTAAGGAAAGGACCCTTAGAAGGCGAAGGATCTCCTGAGGCTGATTTAGGTTAGTCCTTTGCTGCAGGTAATGGCATCCCAAATCTTCTTCCAGGGCCATACAGGTAAAACAGAAAGGCATCATTTCCCTGTCCTCAAAGCTCTGCATTGTAGAAATCCAAAGTAAATACTGGAATGTTTTCTGGTTGCAACGTAAGACATGATTTAATGAATCTCAATATGAACCTGTGAGAAAGTAAACACAGGTAAGTAAACTTATTAAAACCATCAAATTAATCAGTTCGGATAGCTTTATCTGTAATTGAACTGATCAGTTAACTATTTTAAGGGACCTTTTAGATTACAGAAACTTTGACGTGGGATATGATAATAAAGTATTTTACAATCATGAAAATAAGCAGAAATCGCCCCTGGGATCTCATTTTGCCTATCTGAGGAATCAGATAGGTTTGTTATTAGTTTTGAACTGTGGATAGATTAACATTTGGTGAAACAATCCAAGGCCATAGAGTATTAATCTGCATCTGATTCAACAAATCAAATCATGATTTTTATAATCCTATCCTGTTACAGTACAGTATAAATATTTTTAATTGACTGTTTTATGTTTGTTGGTTTTCCTACCTGTATATTATTTTGATACTATTATTAGAGGAAAAAGTAAAATATAGATTTTGGTTATAATCAATTTGCTAATACATAGATAATACAGAATACAGATTTAAATTAAGCCCAAATCATCTCAGGATTGCTTTAAGCAAATAAAACCTCAACCATACGAGACCACCACCACAGCCCCCTTTTAAATTTTACAGCTCAATAAAACAAGACACTTCAACTGATCTGTTTCAACTGATCTGACACTTCTGAAATCTGTTTGATTTTAGTTTAGTCTGGTATGTAAACCAAGCTATTTATTCAATGTGATTAAAAGAAATCAGAATCTAAAGAAACAGAGCAACATATACAAATAGTCCTCACTTCACTGGGTAACTCCACTGCTAAGCAATATTGTTGTAAGGTACAACATCAGATGACTGTGCCAACTTACAACAATAATTTCAACAGTTGCAGTTGTTGCTTGGCAGAGCCCATGCGGCTGCACTGTCCCATGGTGACATAGCCATTTGCAATCTCCTGCTGGCTTTTCCACTGAAAGGGGGATTTGTCAGAAGGTGGCAGTGAAGGTTGCTAATAGCAAATCATGACTGTAGGATGTTGTGATGTTAATAACAAGCCTTGCTGCCAAATGTTTGAATCACAATAACATGACAGTGAAAACACTGTGGCAGTTTCAACTATGAGAACTTACTGCAAGTACTCCTTGATCAGCATTGTCATACCTTTGAATGGTCACTAAACAATGGTACATTAAGCAAGGACCATCTGTAAAGAGTAGCATACTAATAAATTGAACTGTGAACCTTATTTTATAGAGCAGAATATTCTATGGCATTAATAAATAGCATGCACTATCCATCTTTTTTATAGGTAATTGTACTTCAAAAACTTAATTTTCTCTCTTCTATTCTTTATATTTGAAGCTACAATTAGAGTGTTGCAACTTAAAATATTTTGCACTTTGTTGATTGCTGCATTTGGCACTAAATACCGGAATATTATCTTCCAACAATTGCTTGTTTAGTCTCCAAAGTGATCTGTGGTGTCACACTTCAGAATTATTCTGGAACTCCTTTTCTTAAACACGTTAAATAAAAATGAAAGCATATCCAGATTTAAGGGACTTGTTTTTGGACCAAGATGGTTAAAAGTTTCATCAAAGGAAGAACACATTATGGAGAAATATATGAACAAAAGAGAAATCAATTTTAAGAAATGGAGTTCTATCTGCACAGTGTTAACAAGTTTCATATTCCCAAATAAAATATCTGTTGCCTTCAATTGTTAACATACAGAAAATAGTGCAGCCACACTGGGAAGATCAGTAAGATTTACAGAACTGCCTTTTACCAGGTGACAGTATTTGACCATCTACGTAGGGCGACCTACAGGAATCCAGATGTTTACAAATTATAACTCCAAGTACTTCTAGGAGCATGGCCAAGCATGTGTGTATTATATAACATCTGAAGGCCACAGATTGCCTATTAAGCTAGGGTAACATTGTCTGCTGGTTAATCAATCCTTTCATAGGATTACATCTGAGATAGTATTCACAGCATTTAAATCCTGTTCTAAGATATCATCAAAGGATCAACTACCAGGGTAACCTGGAAAGTTCAATCAAAATATGTTTTGCACAAATGATAATAGTTCAGAAAATATATTTATTGGGAAGGAGAGAAGAGAGTTCACTATTAACTCATCTATGTTGTTAATTTTGGCTAAGCCACAGCTCAAATCCAAGAACAGACTTTAAAATTGGCAATAGGAAACAAAACCGCATTATTCTTATCCATTTACTCAATCCAATTTTCTAGAACTACACAATTACTTATAGAATTGGCCAACCAAGGGTTGGGCTGGTTTGTGGCTTAATGTAATGGTTAACACAACTCCAAAGGCCTCACACAGGGAGGGGCTCTTATTTTCTTTTTTTTAAAGAGCTTAATCTGAACCCCAATTTTGTCTTGAGATCTGCTTTTAGTCTTTGGACTAAACCAAGAAATTTATAAAGCTAATTTTGAGCAGATAAATGAGTATGTAAATGAGTGCATACATCTTTATATTCATTACTTCAGCCAGGTTTTTTTAAATTAAAATTCATATTTCTTCAGCCCTCAGTATAACCAATATAATGTTTCCCCATTCAGTTGTTTTCCCCTCAGCACCACCACCTTATGAGGTAGGCTGGACTGAGAAAGAATACCTGGCTCACAGCTATCCAAAGAGTATTTGCTGCTGAGAATGGATTTAAATCCCAGACCTGCCCATTTGGAAATTAAGAGAGGGTTTAATATATCCCTTTGTCATTTCCTGTTTTTGTATTGTTATTTCTGTGTGATAATTATAGAAAGAATACAACTTCTGGAGGCAAGTGGTTCCATTGATTAATTGTTCTGTCGGGAAATTTTTCCCTAGTTCTAAGGCTGCTTTTCTGCTTGATTAGTTTCCACCTGTTGCTTCTTGTTCTCCCTCAGGTCCTTTAGAACAGTGATCCCCAACCTTTTTGATGCCGCGGCCCGGTACCGGCATCAGCTGGGCGCCGCGGCCCGGTACCAGCATCAGCTGGGCGCCGCCATCTTTTTTTGATGAAAATGTGCTTCCGGTGAGCTTTCTACCCGGAAAAGCTCACCGGAAGCACTTTTTCATGAAAAAAAGATGGCGGCGCCCAGCAAGCCAGCGGCCCGGTAGTTGTTCCGCGGTACCTTTTCCGGGTAGAAAGCGGACCGGTGGTTGGGGACCCCTGCTTTAGAAAACAGATTGACTCCCTTTTCTTTGTGGCAACCCCCATATATCAGAACACTGCTATCATGTCATCTCTTGTCCTTCTTTTCATCAAACTAGACATACCCAATTCCTGCAATCATTCTACATATGTTTTAGCCTCCAGTCCCCTAATCATCTCTGTTGCTCTTCTTTGCATCTTTCTAGAGTTTCAACATCTTTTTTACATCGTGTCGACCAAAACTGGATGCAGTATTCCAAGTGTGGCCTTACCAAGGCATTATAAAGTGGTATTAACACTTCACGATCTTGATTCTATCCTTTTGTTTATGCAGCCTAGAATTATGGTCTTAAGTGCTTTTATTTGGTTGTTAGTCACTGAATCTCTAGGGTTGGGCAGAATACACATGTTATTAAAAAAAAATCCAATTCCACTTCAGGATGTTGCAGGAAATTACTCCAAGGGACTTACCTCTTGGTTTGGTACATAAAAATCTGAAATATAGAGTCAATTCAGAAAACCTTTGAGGTAGGTACATGTAAGCATTACAAGTCAACATGATTTGCCACATTTTAATTTAGGCCAGGCCATTTTAATCCTCAGCAGTTACCATTCACACATCACCACCTGTCTTTGATGAGATTTAGCCTGGTTTTGTTTTTCGGGTGGCTTCCCCGGGCAGGCAAAACTCCATCCAATTCGTTCACAAATCAGTCAGCTGGATGAAGCCACAGAGTTGGGTCACTAAACCAAGTGAATTAGGCAGCACAAACCCAGAAACCGGGGTTATTTCCATTAAAAGCCATTTATTTCATGTCTCTGCCAGCCAATCTCTATGGTTACCTTTGCTTTAGGATACGAGTCCAGGAATGTCCGCTTGCTGATAAACCCCTGTTTGTGCAGGGAGTAAAAAAATATACAATTTAAAGCAGGCAGAGGCTGCTGACCCGTGTGGGGAGCACTTCTTATTCTGGTGATGGTTTCTCTCCCTTTCACCCTCCCCACCCGCCCGAAGGAAAGCTCACCTGTAGCCTGACGTTGAACATCATCGAAGCCACGAGGTACAGGTAAGGGAAATTGATGCGGAGCTTCCAAGCCAAGTCGAAGAAGATGAGGAGGGTCCGCGTCAGCCCTTTGCAAAAGATGCCGTAGGTGCGGGCGGTGGCCGACTGGGAAAGCCGGGCAGCCAAGGTGGACAGGAGCACCGACGTCGCCTCCGCCGCCATCGACGCCCTCCCCCCGACACACACACACCACACACACCTGCCGAGCAAGGCCTCGTAGGCTCCGCCTTCTCCGCACGCACTCGCAAGAGACCCGGATGTCCATGGACCGAAGCAGCGCGCCTGAAGGGCTAATCAAGTCAACTAGCCCGGTCGCTGACCATGACGTCAGGACGCAGAGAGCGTCCCCTCGTCCAATCCAAGGCTTTCTATGAAGATATCTTCCTCTCTTTCCCTCCCCCTCCCCAACCCGGCTTTTCCAGTCTGCTTTTTTCCCCCTTCTTTGCTGGGATTGGGTGTTTTGTCTTTCAATCTTTAGGGCGGGCTTTAAAGCAACCTTGTTTTGGTTGGTTTGTTTTATAGTCCATCTGTTTCTTGGCTCACCCAAATGCAAAAACCGGTAAAAAGAGGCATGACAAGCCAAAACTTCCCCCCCCCCCGCATGTCATCCTCTTGCAACAGGCAATTTACTAATCGAGGGAGTTCATGACTTCATAAATTGCATAATTTGGGTTGCAACATCATTACACACATGACTTTCTCGTGGCTTATATTATATCTCTTTAAGACTGCAACTCTGATCTGGAGGAAACAGTTGGCAGTCATCATCCAGGAGAGGTATTTATCTTGAATCAGAGTGAATGAACAACAGCAGTAATAATATAAATGAATTAAAGTTCCTCTATGGCAGGGGTGTCCAACCTTGGCAACTTTAAGACTTGTGGACTTCAACTCCCAGAATTCTGGGAGTTAAAGTCCACAAGTCTTAAAAGTTGCCAAGGTTTGAGACCCCTGCTTTATGCCTTCTCTGTTACATTACTGTCTTCTAACTTCATACAATCATTTACAAACTTTATCCTGCTTTTGGGAATTATGCCAGGGTGTGTGTGTGTAAGTGCCCTTTAACTTTATTTTTAGTGCACAACACTGGCTGCAAACAAAGACAAGGGGTTGTGGATGATTGAATTTGCCACCCTCTGGTCCTATGGTGTAGGTTGAGAGCGAGCAGAGTGGCCATTTTTCATTAGTGCTGATGAGAAGTCCCTTGCTATAGACCAGTTTCTCAAGCTTAGCAATTTAACATATTCAATAAACTTTGCATGTAGATTTTCATGCCCCTAATGTATACAGGAATATGCATTTGCTTCCAGCAAGTTCCCATTTCTCATCATACCCTTCAATGGGCATGTCAAGATTACAGAAGGGCAAAATTCTCCACCCAATTCTAGATAATGGTAGGCACAGCATAGTGTGAATCTTGGGAGATGGCTTCAGAATCCAAGCTATTTAATAAAAAGCAGAATTGTTCTACAGAAGTTGGTCCTTCAGGCTTTAATGCACATCATCATGTGAAAAAGTCCCATAGTGAACAACCTTCCCCCATAAGTACTAGTCTTAAAGTGGCCAAGTTTGGGGACCCCTGCCCTATGCAAATGGAAGGAAGCACATCTCTGGAGCTACTCATTGACTTCATGGGGTCCACCTGTGTCCAAAGGGCATCTCTGGAAATAAAACTAGTGCTGGATGCTTTGGCTTTGCCAGTTTTTGAGTGCTTCTTTGAAACCTAATATGCAAATAGAGTAAGCTACTTCTCTTCTATATGTGAACTTGGGAGTAGTTGGAACATTTTTCTCTACTTTACAGGATTTCCAGAAACAAATTCATCAAGGTGAATGAGCTATTTATAGATATGTGCAGGGGTGGGCTTTAAAATTTTTAGCAAAGGGTTCTCTGCCCGGTTGCTGGGTGGGCGTGGCCATAGTGGGCATGGCCTAGTCAGCTTCCTGCACCATGGCAGGGGGTGGCAGCATTTTTGCCCTCCCTGGGCTCCAGAGGCTTTCTTGAGCCTTTGGGAGGGCAAAAACAGTCTCCCTGGGCTCTGGAGGCTCTCTAGAAGCCAGAAACAGGCCTATTTCTTGCCTTCCTGAACTTCCAGGAGGCCCATTTTTCACCCTACCCGAGCCTCCGTGTGCGCCCTGCACTTACCTGCATGCCACGTGGGGACTCCTGAGGGGCGGGGTGGGTGGGGCCAGCCAGGAGTTGGATTTGGGGGTCCTCCAAACTGCACAGAATCTTAACTAGGGGATCTCCCAAACCCCCAGCAGCCCATCCTCGATATGCGTATGTCTCTTATCTTTTTGACAATTCCAGATTCCCCCCCCCCCCCAAAGTACTCTTGAAGCAAACAAGCCTAGTTACTTTGCCCAGTTGAGATAGAACCAAATGCTTATGTTTTTATTAAAGAAAACAAAGCTGGTATGATTTCACTAGAGTTTATGAGAACCATAAATTGGGGGAACTTTGTCATTTATAGAAGGCAAACTTATAATCACATTTGATTTGTTTATGGGGTTTCTTATAAAACACATACAGGGCCTATTTTTTTTCTTTATTTAGTGCACAGATTAAAATCATGAATCAGGATATATACAATATTACAAACAATGTTATTAACTCATTTGAAAACTCATTTTATTTCAGTGACACCACAAATCTCATCAAATGGTTGATTTTTAAATGTAAATCACATACACATAACTTGTTCTATAAATGTATTGGCTTTGACATTTCTAAGGCCTGTATTTTTTAATTCAATGTATGTGGCCAAAGTAAAAAGTTTTATTATGCAGTATTGAAAACAAAAATTTACATTAAACACTTGGAAATAAATTCACAGGTTCTCTCCAAACTAGTTGGGAAATCTCTGCCCACTCCCACACCATCCTGGAACAAACAAAAAGCGTAACTGCATTTTAAAAAACCTCTTGCAGTATAAAATGGAGTTTCTTTCAAAATAGAAACATTTGAACTGCAGAAAAAAATCTGTATTTTTGGTTTTGTTGAGCTAGACTTACAAGGTAGGTAAGCCTACACATACTAAATGTTTGTCTGTTTGATATTTCAAAATAGCTTCATGATGTACTTTTCATCAGTTAATTTTGATGAAGCACGTTCCTCTTTAATACTATATGTGGAAAGTATAATTTTTGCTGGAAATGTGCAGTCAACATTAGGCTGTTCCCAAATACCATGTGTGATTCACTACAGATTCCTATGTAAATAATAAATCCAGCCTATTGCTCATGTTTGCACCTTTCACTGACTGTAACTGTTACCTCTTAACTAATTTTTATTTAATTATGCCATCAGCTTGGATCATTTTCTTCTATATTAGCTGTGCCCACATCTGGTACTCTCAGGTGTTTGGATAGCAACTCCCAAAAGTATGGTTCTTTTGGCAACTGTAATGCAACATTGTCTGAGGGACACCTCAGGATGAGAGAGCTTAAATTTAGCTTAGTTTAGATCTCTCAGATGAGATTCATCAATTTTATCTCACTCTGTGCAAGATAGGCAAAGCTCTGAACTATTGGGATGAGTGGCTTGAACCCAGATTTTTGTTTTATTTGAAAATACATTTCCAGTTTCAAACATACATATTCTCTGTCTCCTCAAATTACAAAAATCAAACTGTGTTCTTTGCTTTTTCTGAGTAAGGATTTAGAGCAAGGGTCTTCAAGTTTAAGACTTGTGGATTTCAAGTCCCAGAATTCCTGAGCTAACATGAGGAGGAATTCTGGGAGTTGAAGGCCACAAGTCTTAAAGCTGTGAAGTTTGAAGACCCATGATTTAGAGCTTGGTCACTGCATGCAATATAGATTAACACAGATCTGCTGGCTACTGGGTAATATTGCATCATTTAACTGCAATTGCCCTATTCTTCCGTCAAACAGAATGTGGTTCTGATCTATATATTAGCTCCTCTTGTTTAATTTATTTAAAATAATCTACTGAAACTGTTAAATTACTGTTAAGTCCCAGATAAGGAGAAGCAATCCCCAAGGTATCCAACTTAAAAGTTCTTGATATAGCAAAAAAAACCCAAACCAAACAAAACTAAGCATTAGAAAGACTGGATATATTGGTCTCCATGTTTTATAAAAATTTCATATAGAATAATAGTGGAAGGACCCTTGCTATAAATTTCTCTTCTGGACTCATCCCAGGGAAACTGATTTTATGACATTATAGCAAAGAGCAGAAGGATCCAATGTAATCTGTAACTTCAGAATTTGAAACCAAAAATGGACAGACATAAAGGAAGAAACTAAAACATAACGAACAAGCAAAAAAGAACCAATTTAGACTAGCATCTACTTCAGAAGGCAGTTCATTTATTCTTTGCTGCTGAGCGTGCATGTGGCACTCAACAAAAAATATCTCTGACTTTTAGGCAGCTTATTTTGTATCTTAATTTAGGAAACATCACTAAAACAAACCAGTCCTGGATGCTAGAATTTGTAATTTGATATAAATTACCTTGAAGTCCTGATTCAGATTCGTGTTAAAGTTGATGTTAAATTCTTGCAAGAATAAGAACATATCAATATAAAAAACAAATTCTTATAAATCAATCACTGGCATCATTCAGTTATATTATTATTCGTGGCTAATACACTCAAACAATGTACCTACATCTTAAAAATCTTATTTGTTATGTTCGTAATATTGATTTTGGAACAGCTCAGGAAGAACAGATTGCATAGGGTCAGCAAAAATGTTGAGGCCTGAAAGAAGACATATAAACTCTAAATTCTAGAACCAATTCTAAAATTATATCATTCAATTTAAAGAAATGTACCACACAAAAACACTATTGTTCCCCTTGTATTCTTATCTTCTTAACTGTGTATTAAAACTTCATCAGTAAAAGCTCATTAATAATTTAGTTATGGATACTCTTCAGTTCACTAAAATCACCAATATTAATTTTGGAATATACCAGTGGACAATTTGCTATTTATTAAGTTGTGGAAGAATTTTTATCACATATTGAAAGAAATAAAACTAGTATTTCTCATTCCATCTTCATCCTAATAATCATTTTTGCTTAACATGTTTGTTTTTCAAATTAAGAGAAAAACTAAAAATGACTAGGAAGCAACAAGAAACACTGTGTTTGTATGTGCATGTATTCTAATTATCTGTATGTACAATTCATACTCTCACACATACAAGTGCATTAATTATGAATAATTTCCAAGAAAGTGTTCCAATGTTTTACAGTTCCAATGCTTTAAAAATGATCTTAATTGTACATGTTCTTCATACCCGCTCTGGATTTACACCATTTATAATCACACAAGTTCATCAATTTCTGGATAGGTACAATAATTGTCAAAAAGAAAAGCAATTGAGTAAAAGACATATTAATTGAGGCACAGTGGTGGTTCAGTGTATTTACGAAGAAATGTCAAAAAAACATAAAAAGACAGTCTAGAAAGCTGCATAGATATTATCACAATATGAAATACAATGTCAGCAAAGTCTAGTGGTTTTACTTAAATTTATACTTGCTCTGTGTATTTGCATGTTAAACTTAGCACTCTGAAGAGACCTACAGTCACTCTAGTTTCAATAAGTCTAGGAAATGAATCTAAGTAGGTGCTTTTTGGGTCAATGGATGGGACTTTTTACTTCTTGTACATGGCCTTTTTCCATCACATGGAGGTTTTTCTCTTCCGGATTCTCCCTGAGCAGTCTTCCCCTTCTTTCTCTGCACAGACATTCTTTCTCTGAATCATGGGCAGACATGCAAATCATTTCATTCTCCAAATAAGGATATAAGTTGTTTGGCCTGCACATCAATGGATTTTTGTCTCGTCATTCATTCATGCAAATGCAAAGATGGAGCGTGACTTTTTATATTGCGTGTGCCTGGAAAACAGATGTGTCCTTTGCACGAGCAGCCAGTTATGATAGAACTCACTGTCAAAGGGACTGTTTTTATTAGTGATCCCAAGGATTTGGTCATTGTTTTTGCTGTTCTTGGGCATTGTTCTTGTTGTTCTTGCTGCTAAGATGCAAATTGATAACCTCTTAACAGTGGTTTATGTAGACAGCTGTAAAGAAAACCAATGGGATGCACATGGACGGTTGGAAGTGTTTCAAAAGCTACTATCTGGGTAAGCAGCCATGCCAGTTATAAATGGAAAAAAACATTTTGTCCATTCAACTGGGTCATTAACTTCTTCTCTCCCTATATTCTAAAAATAGAATTTCAGGCCTTGGTCAAATACACATTCCACATTTTTAAGTGCCAAGTGACTTATTTCCTATCCCTATTTGAAGAAGTGAAAAGGAACATGCTATCGCTAAGGCTTTTCATAGAGGCTGCCTCTATACTATCACAGTTTAGTGACTTAAGGTCATTATCAAAATGAAGGTTAGAAAGCACAACTGTAGTAAAGTTGTAAGAACAGGAAGTTGGAATTGATTTCAAACTCCTTCTCAATCACTTAGGGTCTACACAAGAAAAAAAAAAGAAGCTTTTTTCTTTCCTTCTTCTTTTACAGGTTATTATCCACAATGTTCCAGGGGAGTACCTAGCAGCGTGGTTAATGTACTTATTGGTGCCAAGTGTGTGTGAAAGCAATAATCTTCTGTTTCTAACTTTCCTGCTGTTTAAGATTAAGAAGGCAAGCCCTGGCCTACACAGGACTGATATATCTTCTAGCTTTTCTTCAGTTAGCAGGATATTGCTTCTTCTTTTCTTTCTCCTTCCTCCAAGCAGCTACTGTTTTTCAATGACACATCCGGGTTGTCATCTCTTTCTGGAAAATAAAGGAAGGTATGAATCAATGTAGTAGACTATAAATACATACACTCTTTTACTTTTCTCTTCAAATTCTACAGCAGGCTTGTTAAATTTCCAAAATTTTCACCCCTGTTTATTCTCTCTAATGTTCAAGACCAATATGCATGGATGGCAATCATTTATTCTGGAAGACACACCTTGCCTAAAAAGTTATGGAAAATTCAAACTCCTTCCATTTTATCTAGAAGAACATATAAACACTTGGGAATGAGCAAATCTTTTTTAAGATAATTGTGATTTGGAGGGAAGGTATCAGTAGAAGGAAGAGCTTAACCCCATCTTTTGGATTGCCATTTTGTTTCCAAGCTGGTCTTTCCCTCCCCTCCCATTCCCAGCAGTCAGGCAGTTTGAGACCCATTTTTAGTTAAGAGAAAAAAAGGGGGGGAATTCCAGAAGGGGAAAAATACAGATGGAAGATTAGGGCTGAATGTACATATAGTTGTTTCTTCTATGCGTGATGGCTAACTCTTTCGTCATTGCATGCTGAAAGTGCACTCATAATGCAATGTAGGTATGATATCGCCCGCCCCCTACGCATGCGTACATGACACTCCTTCACACACTGCGCACCTCTGCACATGCACGTGCGACACCCTTGCATGATCCCTGCCCCCGCACATGTACATGTGTCTCCCACATGCTCCCCCCTTCCCGCATGCGTGGCAGATACCCAACAATCAGCTGGCTGGTGGGAGGTACGTGCGCATGCGCAGTGGATCTGTTCCGGGCGGCAGCTCATGTGCCACAGAAATGGCTCTGCATGCCACAGGTTCACCATCACGGTTCTATGCTATAGATTTTACGTAGTGACAAAAGATACAACATAGAAGACCCCCTATTATTGCCACAGAACAGCCTGCTAATATATCACCATTTGAAAGGTTTGTTATAATATATCCATATGTATTCAGTTGTGTCAACACTCAAGTGCTTGGCCTTCAAATTAAATACTTATCATAAAACTTTTGATTTCTAACCCTATTTTACTTCATCCAAAATTAGGACTATATCTGAAAGGCAAACGGAAAAGAGGGAGAATGTAATAGTTTGGGCTACAGTGGCTGAAATGAATTACGTAGGCTTGCAAATGTTTGCAATTCCAAAATTTTTCACCCTCCTTCTTTAAACAATTTAGTGCCTATAAAGGCCAAACAACAGATTAATTTCTTGGCAATAGATACAAAGTTATTTATTGAATGTGAAACAAGCCCGCCCACCCTCACATTTCAAGGTCTAGTACTGTACTGCAAAACATCAACTTAACAGTTAGCCCATTTATTATGAAATCTAGACTGCTGGCTTTTTCATAACAGTAAGTCTGAGCTTTTAACCATGCAGAGAAATGAACAGATGGTTAAGTAAACATTAATGGAGAAATGCTAAATGTTTCACTTTAGTCAGATACTGCCTGGAAATTGAACTGAAGCTTATTTTTTAATCCCTGGAATGCTACAAGTGAGGCTTCATGGAGAATTGAGGGAAGTCTCCATACAAATCATAGGATATGTAGATCCAACCCCATATAGTCTTTGTTGAAAAGATGTCAACTTAGAATATATGTAGCAGAGTACAGAGTTGCAAATCTTTTTGTCATGGTTAAAACATATAGCAGGAATGAGAAATACAGTGTATTATCTCTCATGGCCAAAAGAAAAGGACGTTTGAAATTATAGTTCACCAAGCATCTCTTTCAGTTACAAATCATACAGTAACAAATTCCATTTCTATAAGCCTTCTTCTAAATTTTCAATGCATTTGGAAGATATCATATATCAACTGAAAAATAAAGAATTTGCTCATATTTGTATTTCAGAAATACTTTCACAATCATTACATATATCATTGTGTGTGATATAGTGATTACTTGCCAGGCAACAAAAGTAGGCTATAACTAAAATAAAAGCTGAAATTCTCAGGCCCAATTATTACAGACATTATGGCCAAGCTAAAATTTGAGTCAGGGACTTTCTCGAAATATAACTAATGTTCTTTAATTACAACACTATTTAGGCTGCTTTGGAGAACTTCTTCTAAATCTTCATATACCATGTCATGCAAAGCCCTCTCCGTGCCTTCGTTTCCCCTGAAATCACAACGTATTTAATATCCTTTATTGTTAGTATTTCCATTCTCGCAATACATGATATGAAATATTTTAATGTAATTATGTAATGGCAACTCTAAGCCGATCAAATGTCACATATTTACAATAAGTTTTGAAATATGGTAATTAGCATAGAAAGTACAAAGAAAGAAACGCACATCTGATCTTCAACATCTTAATTCAACAACCCGTGGCAGATGTTTGTTCCTTTTGTTTTTCTTCATAGAAAATTGGCCCTTGAAATGCCAGAGAATATGCCTGCCCATAGTTTCAAAGCCACTGCATTCAGCAGTTATGGAGAGGGTCCTAAATACCTCCTGCTACTAAGCTGGTATACAGGTCATCCTTACAACCACACCTGAGCCCAAAATTTCTGTTGCTAAGTGAGACAGTTCTTAAGTGAATTCTGCCCCGTTTTACAACCGTTCCTCCCACAGTTGTTAAGTGAATCACTGCAGTTATTAAGTTAGTAACACGGTTGTTAAGTGAATCTGGCTTCCCCGTTGACTTTGCTTGACAGAAGGTTGGAAAATGTAGTCACATGACCCCGGAATACTGCAACTGTCACAAATACATGCCAGTTGCCAAGCGACCAAATTTTGATCACATGACTATGGGGAGGCTGCAAGTCGTAAGCATACAAAATGATCGTAAGTCACTTTTTCAAGGCCACTGTAACTTCGGTCATTAAACAAATGGTTGTAAATCAAGGACTACCTATATGTGCACACTCGAAACATGATCAGAAGAGTGGGATATAATTCTTAAACCATGGAATGTCTATAAGCGAATAGCAGGCTCTCGTAAAGCTTTAGTTTCCTGAAAGAAGAACTACAAGGTAGGCCAGCAGCTCAGCAGTGAATAGGAAATAATATTAGATCCAATCTCAAAACCAGATGGAGCATCCAACGCATTACTAAAATGGCAGCTCTATCATTGTACATGATAAATTATTACTTCCCAGACAAGTAAGTAGGCTATAAATAAAATAAACTCAGAAATTCTCAGGCTCAAATGTTTGCCTGGTATAATTTAACAGATTTGTTCAGGCTGCCTGAACTTTCAGATTCAAATGTAAAGTTTCAAAGTACGGACTGAGTATAAACATTCAGCTTATATTCTCAGGCTCTCTGGAATGATAAAATGTCCCCAAACAAGGGGATATTGTTTAAATTTTTTCTCCCATCAAACACATGAAGTTAACTGCTCAAATAGTTTGGCAACGAAGTAAGAATCTGTTTTCCAATTATTCCTTGTTTCACAAGTGTTCTGCAAATATGACTTAAATTACTGTAATTACAGATAACCAAGCAACCTTTAATCTGATGTAATCTATAGAATGCAACATGCAATTTAAAGCTGATTGAGTTGAAAGCAAAAATACTCACACGAGGGTAATTTTTTGTTTTCACCATATTTCGGTTAAAATGATATGCAGTTTTTTTTACACTGATATATAAGAAATACTGATTTTTCTTGAGTTTGAAAATAAAATAAATTATTTGACTTTAATACAATCAGTTCAGTTCTGGAATGACTGCCTATTCCACAGCTAATTAAATTTAGTCACAGAGCGGTAAAAAGGATCCTAAGAATATTAACATCCAAAGTTAACAAAGGGAAGTAATGAGATCACATTCATTTTATCACTTGATGCAAAATGCTTGTACAGGCCCAATACAGGTAGTCCTCAATTTACAACAGTTCATTTAGTGACTGTTCAGTTACAACGTCACTGAAAAAAGTGGCTTATGACCATTTTCACACTTATGACTGTTACAGCATCCCCATTGTCACTTCAGGTGCTTGGCAACTGACTCATATTTATGACAGTTGCATTGCCCCAAGGTCATGTGATCACCTTTTGCAATCTTCTGACAAGCAAACTCAATGGGGATACCAGACTCATTTAACAACCGGGTTACTAACTTAACAACTGCAGTAAATCACTTAACAATTGTAGCAAGAAAGGTAATAAAATGTGGCAAAACTCACTTAACAAATGTCTCACTTAGCAGAAATTTGGACTCAATTGTGGCCGTAAGTCAAGGACTATCTGTACATTCTGCTAAACAGAAATGAGGCAACAGAACACAAGAGCCAAACAAATATAATTAAAGAAACTTAAAATACTTGCATTTTTTGTTATGCAAGATACCGGATTTGTATAAGCTCCGTAAGGTATAAAATTACTTTATACTGTGAAAGACAATTGATCTGTCTAGTCCAGGATCTTGTTCTTACTACAGAGCTCTCTATCAGATGGAAATCCCATCAGTTTTGCTATCCAGGATTCTTTAAGGATGATAATTTGCTGCATTCTAGATAATTGTCTTAGTTGTGAATTTATAGCATCGGAGACTATCCTTAGCTGTAAAGAATTATATCACAATGTATAGTCCAGAGGCCAGGATGAGTTTGGCAAAACCAAAAGAAAAAAATCAATAAATATGGCAAAAATTACTTACACACACAAACTGTTTTTTTAAGGCAGCCAGTAATGAACCTGATTTTCTCCATATTATGAAAACTTGCAAGACAGTTTTATAACCTTTCCAAAATGCATGAATTTTTTTCTTATTAGAGAGCGCATGAACACACACAGACACAATTTGAGCAGAAGAATCAGATAAATATAAGGAAGAAAAACAAAAATCGGAGGTTGTTGGTTTTTTTAAACGCCTGGACAGAAATAAAATACTTACCAAAGGTTCTAGTTCCTTACGGTCTATGAGGTTGAGCTCTGTGACAAAATAATAAAAGTGCTTGTAACAGGTATTGACGTGGGCCTCAGCCCCCATGATTATGATGCGGTCAAAGTGATGGATGTAAACGTGTACAAACACCCGAAATAGCCTGCACAGGATCTTTTTGCAGATCTGGAGGAAGTTTTTGGGGAATGGTACACCTGTGAATAGACATGATTGACATTTTGTTAGCTGAAAGTATAACATTTTTAAGGATTTTTCTACTAAATGAGCCTATATGTATCCAAGTTTTCTCCAAGTGAATATACTGGCTCTGAATTGTTTCCACACAAAAGCTGAATAATACCTACGTGATATTTTCAGTGCTAGGGGAATATTGGTTTATTCTCTCAGGAATCAATTAATTTCCTCTCTTCTTCCCTCCCATCCTCTCTCTCATATGGCTACCATCTCAAATAATATTATATACCTTTTAATGCATAATAATAGTTTTTGCTGGTGGTGGTTGTTTTAAATCAGTTTTCTTCTCAGAATGGTAACTATTTGGTTGGTTTTCTGGGTATTGGTTATTTCTCTCTGTGATTTTAATTTCATGATAGTAACAACATTCACCACTAACAAATGCAACAACTTGGTTCCTAAAATCTTTAACAATCCAAAAGAGTTTACTGCAACAGCATAGCATAAGCCTAAAACAGGTATTTTGAAAACCACATTTATCTCACAATATTTATAGACAACCCCAATTTGACTAACTGAGTAGTAACATGAGCAAATCAACATCTCTATAATTAAATTTATCACCACATTTTCCATCATATTTCTTGGTAAACACTGCAGAGGAGATGCCCTTTACTTCCTCTTTCAACAAATATTTTATTTTATTGGTATTTTTTTTATCCCGCCTTTCTTATTTATATAGATCATTCAAGATGGTGAACATATCCAACACATCCTCTTCCTATTTCCCCACAACAACAAGCCTGTGAGGTTGGTTGAGCTGAAAGAGAATGACTGACCCAAAGTCATCCAATTGGCTTTCATGGTTAAGGTGAGACTTGAACTCATGGTCTCTGGCTTTCTAGCCTAATCACTAGATTAAACTGGCTCTCATATGCTGCAGCACGGGATAGAAATGGTTTAGAACTGCCCAAACTGATTGAGACAAAATGAGTAATCTATGCCACCTAAATCACATTATGTCTGCAGTGCTCTCTTCAACTTTCCCTTCACACAGAAATATTTATATGGAGGTAGGAGGAAATTACATGGCCCATGATTTTTATTTTGTCTCCCTGTTGGGCAAACATAATCTGTATGCCACTGGTTGAATATCTTTTCTTCAGAATAAATAAAGGTAAGGTACTGAAATATGCTGAGGTAAATATTAACTTTAGGCAATCAACATATAGAAGCAGGATCTCTTCTAGCTCCCTGAGCATTGAGTGAGCAGAAAGAGTGGTCTGATCTTTTCTAATTTAATTTGCCTATCAGATACTGTATAGAAAGGATAAAAAATAAAATATAAAAAATAGTTAAAATCCAGAAAACACAATATAAGATCCATAAATAATAATACATAAATCAGCAATAAATGGTTTTAGTAATTCAAGTTCCAAAAGCCATTCATTAATAGTGTTATCAGCTCCTGACTTATACGTATAGGGGAAGTTGCTCCTTCAGGTTAGTAATGTTGAATCTGTTTTTCAGATTTATGTCAGAGCACATAGGTGCTTTGCTAAGACTGCAATGGTGGCCCAAAGAATTTTAGACCAAATTTAGGGTGCTCTGACATATACATCTGAAAAAGAGATTGAACATTACTTTGAAGGCCCAAGAAGGAACCTTACAGTCACATTCTGAACCCAATGAACAGTATTCTCTGTGTTTTTCTGAAGGGTAGTTCCATCAAAATATAATAATCCAGGAAGGAGGTAACAACTACATAGGTAATATAACCAGAATTGGCCTTTCTAGAAAGTGACACTGATGGCAAGTAATTCACAACTGTAAATATGCACTCCATGTTAATTTGATATTTGAAGAACAGCATTGGATCGAAGAAAATCTGCCAAATTAAGTGTCAACTCACGAAGCATGCCTGACCTGCTCTCGAGTTGTCATAGGCAAGGGGGATGGGGAATCAAATCTCGTAGCTGCATTGAGGAACTTGCATTTCAGTCAAAACAAAGCACATTCCAGCCAGCAATGTCAAGGTCATCTCCACGGAGACCCACAGTGGCTGGAGGGAGGGACTTTTACAACCCCCGAAATTGCTTCGTTGGGGAATGTTTTTTCTTATTAGAAAGGGGAGGGGGAAACAGGATCAGAGCCAAAGCGCGAATTAAGTGAGGTCAGAGTTGGCTTCATTTGGTCCATGACGACATGAAGCTCCTAATAAATAACTGAATTTCTTTTGAAGCTTGGCCTGAGGCTCGTGATTTAATTAGGGCACTGGCCAGAACCCTGAGACTAAGTAGGTTTCTTCAAGAGAAGAGAAGCTGCATTAAGGGCAGATGTAGTCCCATTCATATGAATAACATTTCCCCCAACTACCAAAGTCATGGTATCTTGTCTGAATTCAGTTTAAGCATGTTATATATTTCATCCAGTTTGCAATATGGCCCAAGTAGCAGTCCATCAAGGAAACAACAGACACGATAAACATGGAAAAGAGAAACGTCATTCACACAGAGGTGGCATCCAGCTTGACATCCCCTGATGACTCTATGCAGTGGCTTCATATTGAAAAAGCAGAGAGGACCATCATTTGATATCTTCCCTCAATTTAGGAGTGGGATTATGACAAAGTTATGCCTTCAGGCTCAATTCTCTTAAGTGGACAGAAGGATATTGTAATTGATTGTAAAATCGTTGCCAGAAGATCCCAGAGGCTTGTTTTGCCTTTCTAATGATTAAAAATAAAAATGTAGATTGGGCAATTCAGAAAGATAGTGATTAAAAACCTTGAAAATGAAGCTTTTCATACCAAAGGCTATGTTGGACTAATGTACATACAGTATGTCCCATCTCATGTAGCCAAAAGTCAAGAAAGAATGACCAACAGACCCTAGAATGAAGGCAATTAAGCAAAGTTTTATTTATAAAAATGCTAATAAAAGCAATACTGGTAGTCTGCAGGTTACGACCACAATTGAATCCAACATTTATGTTGCTAATTTGTTTAGTGAGTTTGCCCCATTTTACGATCTTTCTTGCCACAGTTGTTAAGTGAATCATTGCATGTGTTAAGTTAGTAACACGGTTGTTAAGTGAATCTGGCTTCCCCATTGACTTTGCTTGTCAGAAGGTCGCAAAAGGTGGTCACATGACCCCGGGATACTGCAACTGTCATAAATATGAACCACTTGCCAAGCATCTGAATTTTGATCATGTGACCATGAGGATGCTGCAATGGTCATAAGTGTGAAAAATGGTCAGATGTCATTTTTTTCAGTGCTGTTATAACTTTGAACAGTCACCAAATGAACTGTTGTAAGTCAAGGACTACCTGTATACTCAGACGGGGAGCTGTGCCATGATTAATATTCATATTTGGGGTCTTTAATATACACCTTAATAGCCCTGGGGTTCCCCCTCCCATCTGGCACATAGAACCAACCTCAGGGTTAGAGATCACAATTTGGCATTTAGCTTTTTATATCAGCAAAAACATGTGGGAATTGAGGAAGTAATACTTGCTCCCTATGTTGAGTGAAGGAAATGGATTAGGGGGAAGAGGAACAGGAAGATGGTTACATAACTAGCCAGAGGAAGAGGTCAAAGTTGTTAGAATGAGACTGGTGATCTAGTTAGTGAGTGGAAAGGCTAAAAGGGGCCAGCCACAAGCTCATTATCGGTACTTTGCAGCACGGGTCAAAGAGTCAGCATGTGAGTTCCTTGGGGAAAACAGGAAAGCAGCAAGAAGAGGTTAGGTTGGCCATGCAAGAATTCACGGGCAGAATTGGATATCGGAGTTCTAATCCAATACGTTTAGAAAGCAGTCTTTAAACACCATACCATAGTGCTCCCACAGAAAGTAAATCACAATATTTTTTTTAACATGGTCCATAGAAAGTAGATAACAGTATTTTTCTTCACATGGTCTTCGTACTGTGTGAATAGGGTTATTTCAGATATTGTGTTTCCCTGAAAATAAGACTGGGTCTTATATTAATTTTTGCTCCAAAAGACGCATTAGAGCTTATTTTCTAGTTCGGTCTTATTTTCAGGGAAATATGGTACTAAATGTGTCTGTCTGGCTGACGGTCTTAACTGGTTTGGAGTCTATAGATACCCTGAAGATACAGATAAACTTCCAAGTCTTTAAATACTCTAAAAAGATGCAAATGACCAGCTATCTGCAAGTAGTATAAATCCTTCCATTCCTCACTATCCTGTCAGAGCTGAAGAAGCTTCTTGGATAAGAAGCGACATATCTTCAAAGAAAAAACAAGAAAGCCTGAAAAAGCACCTCAAAAAGCACCTTTGGATTAACTGAGTTTGATTTGGGGGGGTGGGGTGGGGTAGGGCTTATATTATGAGCATCATTAAAAATCAAAAATCAAGCTAGGGATTATTTTCCAGTTGGGTCTTATTTTGGGGGGGGACATAGTAAATTGCCGTCAGCCTGTTATATCACGATCCTGAGAAGTTGTAACACAGAAATATGAGCAAGAACACAAGACAATGGACTCTGCTTAGGAACTGTTGATTTCACGTTAAGATACTTATTTCATACTTTTCAAAAATCAGTAATAAAGAAAAATGTCATTCAATGAAGATTTATATACAGGTAGTCCTTAACTTACAACAGTTCATTTAGAGGTGGTTCAAAGTTACAACCATACTGAAAAATGTGGCATGACTATTTTTTCACACTTATGGCCATTGCAACATCTCCTCGGTCACATGATCAAAATTCAGATGCTTGGCAACTGACTTATATTTATAACGGTTGCAGTGTCCAAGCGTCACTTGATCATCTTTTGCGACCTTCTGATAAGCAAATGGGAAAGCCAGATTCACTTAACAAGTATGTCACTAACTTAATAACTGCAGTAATTCACTGAACAACTATGGCAAGAAAAGTCGTAAAATGGGGGCAAAACTTAACAAATGTCTCACTCAGCATCAGAAATTTTGGGCTCAATTGTGGTTGTAGATCGAGGACTTTAAACTGGCTTTAGAAAAAGCTGAG